CATCAACTTTGGGATACAGGTATATCCAGCTGACAAATCGCAAATAAGACGAAACGCACTTTCTTAATTTCCCTGCTAGTGAACATTTATATTTCACAAATTACGATTTGAAATTGAATTTATGTACTTAAATGTGGGCAGTAACAAAAAACTCTAATCCTACATGCAAACAAAACCAAAAAATTACTTGAATTACATGGAAATATGCCATTGTTTTAATAGCCATTCAAGTTGATATAACTGAAATAGTAATAATTAAGTTAAGAACAAAAGCACAACTTATAACAATTGAATCTAATAATCATTTTTGTTTGAATGCTTTTAATGGAAATTTTTAATTCACCAAATTAACTTATTATAGCCTTTTCAGTTCACAAATCTGTCTGAGTTAAGTAATCATGTAAAACCTGTGAGTAGTGTATGGTCATTTCGTCATCTATTGTCATAGTGGATAACTGTTTCATATGAGACATGAGTGAATACCATTAGTCATGGCTTCTCATCAGAACTCCATGTCAGATGTGAGAACGTTTCTCATTAAAGATAATGGGAGATGATAACACAATATCCCGGACTGATTGTAGTTAGACTTGTACACAATAAAATTCCGGCTTGATGGCTTAAAAGTTAGGCATTCGTGTGCAAGACCCAAGTCCCTCGTCTGATTTCCGGTTGGGAGGGAGATTATTGATGCGCTTTTATGAGGAGTATGATATTGAGAAGAAACGGCCGTAAACTGCTTCCAGGTACTAAATGGCTGTGTAACCTAGATTCCGTGAACACGTTTGCAATAAAAATGAATATGTGAGTGTTTTATAATATAATTAGTTACTACGATATCGTTTTAATTACATATAGTCATTTAGGAATCATTTGCGTAATGAAATAGGGGGCCCTGAAATTTTATGATTGTCAATTATTACAAGCCATGGACCACTTTGATATCTATGAAAGCGTTTATTTTAGTTGAAGGAATTTTAACAGGATTGATATAATTTAGAGGTTGTACTCACCTAGCTTCTCTCAGCTAAAGTACCAATAAAAATCAAGATACACTAAACAGTTGTTCTAATACCTTTGTCATAGCTTATGTCAAGGTTTCCGGAGTTTTAATGAGAAATCGTGGTTGCTAGAATTTTCGTGATTGTCAACACAGATACTAGATGACTATCATGCTATATCGTAAACTGATCAATGTTGGAATCGTTCAGTGGTTTGACATGAGACTCTAAGATCCTAAGTTCCATCACTGACAGGGTTGAATGCACCAACTGCTGAAACAAAACAATGCCTCATTGCTCTTAATAATATTTCAAATCTGATCAATCTATAACAAACTCAACCAACACAAACCATATCCTTTTAATGATTTTAAATTAAATAACTATTCAAACCTCAACTATCAGGGAGAACGTATTTAGAAAACATTCCAAACTGTCAATATGAATTGTTTGACTTCAGAAACAAATCTAGTAAAAAAGAAATATAAAACATTTGATATTATCAGAAGGGGTTTTGTGGAGATTTTAGAAATCTCACTGATTGAATTCATAAGTCGATTGAAGTTAGACCACCATGGAAAACCCGGAAGCAGTAGACGGCCGTTTTGTCCTAGTGTGGGACTCCTCAGCAGTGCGCATCCACGATCCGACACCCTGCGAGATTCGATATTAATTTAACATAAGGATCAGTGACTGAATGATTGAATTTTTTAACTCATGGACATTAGATCATAATGTTCTAATCACACTTTCCTTACTAGACTTAAAGCTTGATTGGATAAACCTGAGATTTTTTCCCATTTATTTGGAAAACAATTCACAACACATCATTTATATTCAGTGAAATGAAAAATAAGTGAACATTCCAGACATACACCCACACACACCACACACACACACGCACACGCGTGCGCGCGAAAAGACAAAGAGGGGTAAACAAAAGAGGTACAGGTATTCGAATCAAAAATGAATAACATTTTAATATGGTTAAAATAAAAAAATTCATAAAACGATTAAGTTAATTAACAGATTTTATCAGCATGTGGTTATTGTTTTGACTAAATTAAAAGATGGTTTCAATTTTGTAAAACACATTAACAAAATCAACAATAGTTTCATTTTATTTTTTTGTATTGATTGTATGGATCCTTCAATTGATGTTTTGGACTACAGTTGATCAATCATTTTCTGGATATTTCAATGTTGAAATTGATCAATTGGGGTTCTAAATATCAATTGGAAGATTTAAGAATCTCTTGAAGTTGATCATCATGAAAAAACCTGGAAGTACTGAACGGACGTTTCATCCTAGTATGGGAATCCTCAACTGTGCGCATCCAGAAAACCACATCAAATGGAATCGAACCCAGGACATATCGTTCTCACATGCGAACACTTAACCTCTAGAACACTGAGCTAGTCAGCATCCGACGGTGTTAGTGTCTAACTTCAACAAATTCACGAAGTTGAGCCAAAGTTCACCACTGTCTTTTGTGAGTCACTGTCTCAAAACAGACACGGTTGAAGTCCACTGGTCACGGCTTCTCACTAGGACTCCACGAAATACATGTTGAAGCCAGTCAGTAGCGAGTATATGAAGATTATTATCAGAAAGGTAGTTTTGTGAAGATGGTAATAAATAAATAGTTGAATTCATGAGTCACTTAAAGCTGGACAATCATGGAACACCTTGAAGCACTGGATGACCGTTTATTACTAGTGTGGGACTCCTCAGCAGTGCGCATCCGTGATTCCGCTTTATGAGATTCGAACTCAGAACCTATCGGTCTCTGTCATTTTGAAATAAAATAACAACACTAGGCTACCGCCTGCGGATGTTTTTATTATTTACTATTTCCCCCAAGGAATGTGACTACTGTATTAGAAAAAAATCCGTGAATGTATTTTTCATTGGAAAAATTATAAATTTTCGAAGTTTGACTTTGAATGTATATTAATTGAAACTGAAAAACAATGGACATTCATTTCATCTCAGTATTGGAACACTTCGAGTGTGCTCACTAGAGACTGTAAAAAAGAAAGAGCGTATCTATGTTGGGACCAGTGGTTGGACGTCGTATCTTTATTTTACTAAGTAAGTATACCATGGATTACATTTCTAATCTGAATATTAAACCAAAACAAATGAGTTTATTATTAAGATTGGATGATTTCTAGAATTAAAATGTAAGACGTTTATTTTGTTCTGTTTAGAATTCTTTAGCTAGTTTTTTCTCTATCCTAGTGTTAATGTTCACATTGACAATCGAACCCATTATCATTCACTTCGAACAACAATGTGTAATACACTGAATTTCTCAGTCTCATTTGATTCAAAACCTTGTAAATAAATGTCGTTATCTAGACATTCATCACATGATGCATATATCTTATTAGTGACTGATTAAATGCATTTCTTAATATTAACAACCAGAGAATTCAAACCTTTAAATTGAAAACACGAAGTTCAGCGAAGGAATCTCTTCTCAACGAATTTATTATCAAGCTGTACCATCATATATATATGAAATTCTTTTGTTTGATCATACAAGGGTGATAGGAGAGCAGTTAGGGGTTCTATACTTGAACACTTAATCGATTGTAATCATTCTACGGATCCACAGTTTGACTTTTTCATCATCTTATTATATTCACTAAATCTATTGTTTTTATTCGTTTTACGTAATCTAGTATTAGAATCTTTCTATTACGTCATCTTGACTAATCATGTTCACATTTCCTCACGGAATTAGTACTTTAGCAACAACAAAATTTCATATATATACAATTGTACAGCTTGATAATAAATTCGTTGTAAAGAGATCCCTTCACTGAACTTCGTGTTTTTATTCTTAATGTTTAAATGGGAATTATCTGTCAATTCAAGCCCTTACAAATAAAATGACTGTTTAAATTCACTTGACGTTGTTTTACTTGTATCTGTTTAGTTGAATTAACTTCATGTTGTTAACCATCTTCAAGTTTGCCATCCTTTACAAAACTTCAATCCTAATAATAATTTTCGCTTGATATTTTTATCCCTTGAATAAATCAGCTTGTTTATACAGTTTTTTATCCGTTTTCTGGAATGGATCTCTACTTTGTTGAATATGATGTATATGAAATCATCTGGAAATTAGAAACGATTAAATAACTGTTATTATTTGTTCAGGACTCTTTATCAGCACCTACACAGATATATTCTCGAATACTAGACCTTAAAATTTCACTACGAGTTGGATGGTACCTAAGAATTTAATTTAATTTTGATGAGCTGACAGTATTAGTCTCACTTATTGTAGGCGATGAATGATGATGATCTAGTTTGTAATGGTCAACGAAACAGCATATGATTACTGTTTGCTTCATTGAATAGACATTACGCCTAAATGCCTTGGTACGTCAGAGAGTGGGAGAGTCCGCTCCCCCTCTCGCAATGCTCTCACATGGCCACACCTATATAGTCTCTGCCAGGGAATTCCCACTCATTGTCGTGGTGGGGGTATTGTTTACGAAAATGAGAGGACGAAAAGCGAATGTCCAGCTCTTTAACCGTGTAGGTGGGCACGGAGAGTCCACAGATAGAAGTTGAAAAACCCTGATTCAAAACCAATGGTATACATGGGCTCCATCACTCTGAGGGAACAAATAGCGTATGAATCAATTGTTGGTCATCGACTACCATCAGACTGCATCTCCAGACGTTGCTCCACTGCCTTATAGATCAAACCTTGAGGTCGAAGGCTCGGGGTTTGGCCTCCTAAGAAAACCACCTGCTCTGATTTAGGCGTGCAGGTAGTATCCCAACCCTCACACAAATCAAATGAGATTTGTGTGGCGCATATGTACCTGGTGCCCCCTTATACCAGTATTTATATGTTCAAATAATAATGCATAAACTGATTCGATGTATATGAATATTTTATATAGTTAGAAATAAAATTTGTCAGTAATTCACAACAGAAAATGAATATAAAAACACACACACATATATCATACCTGTTATCCACATAAATCTGTTTATAATATTCCTCCAATTTGTAATAAACATACTTGTCAGTGAATGGTATGATTGAACCGAATATTATAAAAATACACTAGAACTGAAACAGTAAAGAAAAATATTTTTAAAAAAATGATAATTTATATTTCACTTTGGTTTATGCTTAAAAAATATAAAAATGCAATTTTTGTAACCTTAGTAACCGAACAATAAGACATTTCATTGTTAAATTGATTGACATTATGTAATATAAATGGGATGGTAATATTAGTAGTTCTGAATGTTATATCTCAATGAGAATAATGGATGGTAACTGTTAGAATCTATATCTGGACTAATAGTATACGTATATTTTTATTGTATTATTGTTAAGTAATTAAACTATTCATATTTGTGTTCCTCTTATTATAAGCTTTATTTTGACCTATGAATTATTATTATACGATTTACCATTATTGAGTTATATCCAGTCTATTAATTACAGTCTCCAAAATTCACAGCCACAAATGTTATTTTCTATTTTATGGTACGATGCAGTCTGTTTGGTTGATATATAAACTCAGTGTGTTTGAAATACATGATTCATATTGCCGAGGCTGAGACTGGTGTTCTGGACTCAACAGGCGGGCAGAACTAGGCAGGAAGAAGGACTTATAAGGACTCTAGACTGCTCGTACGGGTTTTATGCGTCAATGGTCTGGTCAATAATTCACTGTTCTCTTATTGGCGGTATCATTACGTCATATATTGATAGGGGCTCAAAACCACAAGTTATAACATTGAATACGATAAATTAGACTTTATTGACATTTTTGTAGTTAAATCCACGATAGTGTTGGAGATTTGAAATCGAAAAGTGATCTCATATAGATCACCATTGAAAATCTGGAAACACTGAAAGATTGTTGCGTTTTAGAATGGGACCTCATCATCCACAACTTTGCACACAGGTATCGAACCTAGGATTTTTGATGTCATGAGTGAACGCTTAACTTCTGAATCACTCACTTGCGATCCAACTATGTTAACGTCTAACTTCACTCAATCATTGATCTTACACAACGAAACGGCCATCCAGTGTTCTAAGGTATTCAGTGGAAGTCTAGCTAAGATCAGTTCGTGATTTCAACTGTGAAAGTCTATCGTATATCAAGGCACGTATAAAAGATGTTCAGTAGATCAATCATTTTGATCTAATGTATGAACAAAAGCAATAATTGTTATATTCGAACGAAAAATTAAAGGATGGTAACTACTAGGAGTTATTATGGACATTTATTATATATATTCATGTTGTATGATCATTAAGTAACTAGATTATATATATATATATATATATATATATATATATATATATATATATATATATATATATATATATATATTCATATTTCTTTTATTATAAGCTTTCATTCTACTTATTGGCTACTGCAATACTATCCACCATTCTTAACTTACTCCTAGTTCATCAGTTACAGTACCCAACACCCACAGTTATTTTTGGTTTGATCTTGCAATAATTATTTTTCATTTTATTGTGTGATGCAGTTTGGTCTACTTGTATATAAGCTTATTATGTATGGAATATACGATTCATACAGTGAAGGCTAATATTTGTGTTGTAGACTGAACAGACTGAGTTGGGCGAGAAGCTGCTATACCAAGAATAAATAAGGACTTAGAGTTGACGGATCATTGGATTGGGACTGAGATGAGATCATTGAAGTTAGTATTTTGATTAACATGTGATATTTGACAAGCCATAAGGTAAAAATTTACCTAATTTTCATCGAACAATAAGCAACTATGGTGAATTAAGAATGATATTCACAATGTTATATCATTTGTAGTGATTAATAGTGAATTTAAGTCACACCTTAAGACCGAGGGGAATTTTAGACATGTCTTCGTCGAAACAATTGTCGTCAACGGTATTGAACGGTCATTGTGCTAAGTGAAAAACTGAATGAAGTCAAAATCGTTACATTGAACATCTACAAAGTGGCTATACTAGTCAAGCTCTATCCACGATGACTGAAGGCCCATGAGTTCAATTCGTCAATGGATTGTGGGCACATATTATTTACGAATGTATTTAGTTGTTGAGTCCTAAGTAAGATGAGACAGATTTACCAGCTTATATTGCTTTTTAACTAATACCAAAGCAAACAACAGTTAATTAGGAAACGTGAAGTCAATTATAAGATATATTTGGAAAGAAGCCAAGTTAAATTGTTTATGGTTCAGTCGGTAGTAACGTTGAGCAGATTATTTGAGAACACAAAATAAATGTTTGATAAATGTAAATCTTTTACCCAAAATATCGAGTTTTAGCGTTTTTAATCACTGATAGAACGATTTTAACAACAGAGATATTTTTGTACTTTACATCATGAACTGAATTTATGTAGAAAACCACTGAAAACCAAAGAGCACCAGATGATTGTTTTGTCCTAGTGTGTAAATCCGGAGATGTGGGCAATCGTAACTAGAGATCGGATCAAGAACCTTCACGTTTGGTATTTGATGCTAAACTTTATAATCATTTAGTCGACGCCTGATGATTTGTGTGTCTAACTTTGGTCGATTCCAAGTGTTGAGCAGTCATCTTACAAGGTTATTGTTTAGAAAATGCCTCACATTCGACATGAAATTTTAATATCAAACACAGCTTTTAATCACGTGTTGAATAGAATGACCTTCTATCGTACGTTCCATGACTTCTAGGTGTGAGAGTTTATGAATATCATAGGATTGCTAATATTTTTAAAAGACAGCGCATCTTTGCTTTCTATGGAAAACTTTTAAGAAGTTCGCTACCGTAGTTTTATGTGTTATAACTGACAGATATAAACAGAAACCATCGCATCTATTTTATATGAATATTTATCAATATATGATCGAATAATTTCACAGAAATTTGGCTTTGAGATTATAGAAGACATTAATTGTGTAAAATTATATATAACATATTCTCAGTGATCGAAATTATATAAATTCCAAAGTTTCGTCCGGAAAAATTGGCTAGACGTCTTTAGGATAACAGTCAGAATCAAAATCATAAGTAGAGAGTTGTGAAAATTATTAAGTTTTTGATTCAGATCATCAACTGATTGGTGTTAGACCACTGTTGAAAACCTGGAAACGCTAAACGACCGTTTCATCCTATTGTGGGACTCCTCAGCAGTGCGCATCCACGATCCCGCTCTCGTGATCCGAACAAAGGGCCATCAGTCTCGCACGATAACGCTTAAGCACTAGACAACTGAGTCGGCATCCAACAGTGTTAATGTCTAACCTCAACCAACCCGTGAAATCGCGCGACCATCTTCCATTTAACGTCAATCGGTTCATGATCTGAATCAAAAACTTAATAATCTCCACAACCACATACTGATAAATACCATGTGCTCACTAGTGACTAGCTTTGTGAAGGAATTCTCGGAGTTCTAGTGAGTAGCCGTGAACAGTGGAGCTGATCTGTGTCGGATAGAGACAGGTATCTACCTCAGTAAAATGGAAGATACGAGTTGGTGGATACGGAGAATTCACAGAGGGGAGTTGGAGAACCCTGATTCAAAACCAATGGTATACATGGGCTCCATCACTCTGAGGGAACAAATGGTGTATGAATCAATTGTTGGTCATAGGCTACCATGGGGCTGCATCTCCTGACGTTGCTCCACTGCCTTGTGAACTAGACCTTTAGATCAAAGGCTCGGGGTTTGGCCTCTTAAGAAAACCACCTGCTTCAGTTTAAGCGTGATGGCAATATCCCAGCCTTCACAAAAATCGGATGATTTATGTGGTGCATATTTGTTTGGTACCTCCTTGTACCAATGTATATGTGTTTAAATGAATAAATAAATAAACAACCTAAAGAAAACTGAAATTCCCTTATAAGTTCAAGCTTTATTGAATGATATAGATACTGATAATTGCCTTTTATTTAAAGTCGCAATTGACTCACTATAAAATTAGATCATATAAATAACTTGAAACAGTATGAAAGTTTACATTTTATCTAAATATAATGAAATCTATTTTGAGAAAAAAAACCCGATTCAATTACATTCCATGAACCATTATTTAGATGTTTAATCCTGAAATCGGGATTCATTTTTTCCTAAGGTAATTTCTAATACAAGAGGAAATTGATGTGAATACTCAATAATACGATAGTTGGCACACACAATAACTCAGCAATAACCCTTAAACAATAGAATTTAATAAGAAAGCAAAACAACAGGAAATGTTTAATATTTCAACAAACTAAAATTTGCATTAATATTAATCTGTATATAAAACAACAAACATGACCTTGGAAAATTGGAAAACCAGTAACCAATTTAAAAATGATAACCACCAATCAGAAATCAGAACTGTTCATATGGAAATACGAATTACCTTAAAACAAAACTATTATAAGAACAAACTAAAATGACAAAATTAAACTTCTTGGGATCTTCTAAGCGAAGAAACTATTCTAATTAAATATTTTGAATGATAAAAATTAAAATATAAATTAGACTGAACTGATTGTTTCTATATCTTAAGTGCCTTATGAACTGAATGGTTCGAAAGAACAAAACGCACATTCAAACATTTCCATCGATTATATTTAAGAATAATACCATAAGGTACTTCTAAGTATTGATTAAATAGATTGAGTTAACTTGAATTATCACACAAAATTATTATTGTTGTCGAGGAAGACAACACCCCCCCTCGCTATGATCTTTTAAATAAACGTTATGATATATTGATTTCTCAAATGAATTGTTAAACAAATATATAAATCGAATGATATCGATTTATCATTTATCTATCAGTTCATTGAATCATGTTGTTTTATGTTTTTTGTTTCGGTTATTATCAAATATTTTCATCAAATAAGAATATTTTAATATTACTTATATTCTTTATTGATAGTTTGGTAAATGATATCGATTTATTGATTATATTGAGTATACTAACATATATTTTATAAGAAAAAAAAAACAGAACAGAACAAGTTTAATTTTATGGATTAAATTTTTGTCGATACAAAAGTTGTATGAAAGAATAGTCTTCTTATTGTTAAGGGGATAAAGAGAAGAA